CCATATATATATATATATATATATATATATATATATAAAATCTAAATTTTAAAATTGATTTTCAAAAATTCTTGACGACAAACTTTAGAATAAGAACTTCACAACAAATAAAACTTTATAGAAAAAATTTTTGTTCTTTTCAATTCTTCACATTTTAGAATGATTAAACAAAATCAATAACTAAATATGAATGACTAGCTTTTTTTCAAGTTCTTTGCCCCCCTCAAAAAACTAATATAAACCTTTAGAATAACTTTTGTTGCATGTTTACCCCTCAATTGAGTAATTTCAAATCTTTCAAAAAACCAACATCTATGAATCCCTTAGCTTCGGCATCAGACTAGAGAGGATGAAGAAATACCCCAAAAATATCAGTGGAAACATAAACCAAAATCAAAGCCAAAATAAGGAAAAGTAGCACCTAAACAAATTATAGCCTTAGCAAACTTTCCCTCAAAGAATACTCTTTCATTCAAAGAAAGGTTGGAGCAACAACGACTAATCATAATCAAACAACGGGAGCAGATAACCTATCAGCTAAATCATACCTTAAGGAGGCGGAAAGGGCAACAGGAATGGAAGAGGGCTCTCGACGATAGCAGGGGACGATGAGGAATATCACGCGAAAAGGCTAGGGCACGTGAGGTTAATGAGGGCAACTAGAGGAATTTTTTAGCACAGGAACACGGAACGCGGCTACAGATCCGCGACTCACAATATTATTAGAATCCAATATACAGTTTGAAACACTGTACAAAACACACAAATCAAACAACTAATTAAGCCGATTTGTTTCATAATTTGATTTAGAAAGCTGAAACAAACACCCTCTTAGATTGAAGATAACAGTGCTGTCGCAGATGGTGGCGATCAAATGACTGTTGTTAAGTGACATTAATTAAATGAGGACAATTGCTAGAGGATACTTAAATGATAATGGTTAAATTATGATGATTTATGATAATAATAGTCAAATAATAATGATTGTTGAGTAATTATGGTCAAACAACAACAATAGCTAACAATGATCGTATTGAACATTGCACAATAGTTCTAATATTCTCTATACTCTAAGTTCTTTTCACAATTAGTCTCTTTTGTTTGAAGAATAAAAAAGTTTTTATAATTTTTGGAAGTAAGAATTTGATGTTATTAACAAATATCTTAACTTTAATTTCAAAAAGTTTTTCACGAAATCTAATAAAAAATTAATTATCACATAAAATTTATACAATTCTAGAATAATAATAATAAATATTATTACTCATCCTGATTTTAATTTATTATTATTTTGTTATTATGTACATAAGATCAATGAAATATAATTTTCAATATTCATAAAACATATAATTTATAATCTTCCGTTCTGATTAAGGGTTTGTTTGGGGCAGCTACTAAAGAAGAAGTTGTTGTTCAAAAAATAGTGGTGGTTATTGCAAATTTTTTTTTTTATTTTGAAAAAGTCAGATCGTGGCTTTCTAGCAGCCACCACAAGTAGCCAGATATAGTAAGAAAACACAATTTTCAATTGTAATTTTTTGAGAACACAAACAAAATACAGTTTTGCTAAAAAAATAAAGCGGTACGACGCCACACCACCGCCCCAAATCCACCCTAAGAGTCTCGATGGGAGCGAAGTTAATTTAATTTTGCTATTCCTATGTTATGGCCATATATATATATATATATATATATATATTATTTATTGTTAATCCGGTCTAAAGATTATTGTTGGAACCATATTTGTCTTTAGACTCACACTCAAGAAATGAGATAAATCAAAGGAATAAGAATATCTATTTCTTGTGGGAGAGGGGAAGCAAAAAAAAAAGCCTTTTTTTACATGAATATCCCTCTATTTATAGACAACCATTTTTTGCATTACAAAATAACAATTCATTATAGATAGATCCTAAAAAAAAAAATTATCAATAATTTTTTGTGTTCTTCTAATTTTAACTTTATAATTACTATTATCTCTAACCGTGTCGTATTTTAATACTAAAGCACGGACTAGGTCAAGTGGTATTTGGCCATTCAATTATAGCGAATATAAATATTATCAAAATACTATCAAGAAAGACACAATTGAAGATAATAATGATATATTTTTAATATCCATAGCTGCAACACAGAACACATGCATGATTCTCCTAAAGTACAACAAATCACTCCCTAATCATCTATACCAAAAACACAATTACCATATTTCTCCTCATATATGTAGATAGCATCCTCATCACTGACAACTCACCCACCTTCATTAACTTCCTTCTTACCAAACTAGACAACTAGTTTCACATTAAACAATTAGGGCTAGTTTCTCAATTTATAGGACTTCAAATTCACCACACAACTCACGACAATGTTGTTGAACAAAGCTAATATCTACTTAACCTACTCTACACAAAAGAATAGTTCACTCTGAATCTTCTCACACTGCTTCCCTCCTCATCCAAACCCATCAATTCCAACACCTGTCCAGTTGACCATAACAAATTTCGGCAAACTATCAGTTTCTAACGATATCTCACAGTTACCGGACCCGAAATCACATTCACACTAAATAATCTAAGCTAGCATATGCACAACCCCCAACCACAACATCAACAACTTCTAAAGAGACTACTAAAAGATACCTCAATGGCACTAGGAACCATGGATTACCAAGTGTTGCGGGCAACCTACAACTTCAAGCCTACACAAATACAAATTGAGCAACAAATCCAGAAGACAGACGCTATATTACAAGACTTTCTATCTTCCTTAGTCCCACTTTATCTCCTGATTATAAAAAAAAACAACTAATTGTTGCTTTTTCTTCCACCGAAGCATAATACGGGGCCATGACATGAGTGACCACAGATATTCAATGGCTTAGACGAATACTACATGAAATGCTAAAAAAACAACTTTGTCTTTTAGTTAATACAATAGCATCTCATACATTTTAAGAAAATTTAAACAAAAAAAAAAAATTCACATAAAAAAAGAAGTAAAAAATACAACCTTTTGCTTGAGAATTAAAACGCCAACCGTATCATTTCTTCCCAAATACTCTCCCCTCGAATCATCAATTTTACCAATCTCCATTATCGACTAAGATCTCGACCTCTCGCCCAACCGTTCTCCTTTGCCTTCCTTAAAAGCACCACTCACCCTTTTTTACCCCACCCCCCTATTAAAGCTATAAATTGCAAAAACAGAATGTCAGAATCCTCACATTCTTATCCCCATTCTCTCTTTGCATATAACCATTACTGCAACCCAAAGTAAGAGTAAATCAGAGACCAGAAAAAAACACTCTCAGAGAGAGAGAGAGAGATGGGAACCCTTTCTCCTCTTGCAGAAGAGCCCATAAGCGAAGAAGAAGGCATCTCAGCAGAGAAAGGAAGCACCTTTCGAAGCTGGCTGAAGAATCTTCAGCTCTTCCACCGCAAACCAAACCTCAAAGTTCTCCTCAGTGTCATGGCCTGCCCTCTCTCTCCTGTTTCCATCTTACCAAAACAATCACTTGGAGTGAGTTTTCTCTCACCCTTATGCTCCCATTACAAGCACCAAGATTTGATCTTTCTGGCTTCATTCTGTTTCTGTTTGAAGTAAAGTTAGAGTTGTTTATTAGTTTAATGAACTTAATTTGAATCTTTGATTCTTAATAATTATTATTTGAGTTAATGATTTGAGCGCATGTCGATGGAAAACTTAGTTTGAGGACAAGTCGTAAGTGAAATTGTATGAAGCTAAAAGATGATCTTGTAATGGTGTTTAGGATAGCTTCACACGGTTAATTAGTTTCTTTATCTATTGTCTTATTAATAATTTGTGGTGTTTAATATAAACAAAAAATAGTATTGTACTTATAAAAGATTCATAATAATTTTTCTTTCATTTCGTTAATTCATGTCAGCATTAGAATGATTTTTATCAAACAGTTATAGATCAAGTAACATTTTTAACAAAAGTCTTGACATAATTTTATCACATCTATACGTATTTGTTTGCTCACAACTAAGGGTGCAAACGAGTCGAGTCGAGCTCAAACCATGCGAAGCTGTGCGCTCTAGCCTGACTCATACTGGCAGTATTAATCGGCTCGCCAGCCTAAACTGAAAACTCAATTTTCATGGGAGGTGAAGGGGCAATGGGAGCTCATAAAAAAATGCATCGAAATGATTAGTGATATGCTAATAAAAAGCTTTGCAGGTGGCCTCCTCAGCAGAGTACATAATACGGCAGTTTCGCGCGACGTCGGGGTGTAGCAAGATGGAGACAAATCCGACGAAAAGCATGTATGTCGCCGGCCGTGTGGCGGTGGCTGGAAAACATGGCGCGACCTCCGCCACCTCCTTTTCCAGCCAACAAGGCTCCTTTGTGATGTGGCAGATGTCGCCAACCAAGTGGCTCCTCAACCTTAGGGTTGCCGGCCTCCACGTGTCTGCTGGAAGTGACGGCCATGTGGCATGGCGCCGCACGCCATGGCTCCCCGCGCATGCCGCAAAAGGAGGCGTGCGGCCTCTCCGGAGAGCACTGCAGGCAAGTGGAGTCATCGAGTTGTGTTATTTATTTAGCCTTTTTTTTTTCCTCTATATTTTTTGTTGTTTTGCGTAGAGAAAATATTGCAGTTCTCCACATGTGTGGACGATCAATGGTTGGGTGACAATTCAACATGATTGGGCCCCGCCTTAGCATGCATGTCGCATTGTTGCCCGTTAATTGGCCGTTCACATGGAGATATTATTGCATACGGACACAGCATGCCGTGATCTACGGTCAGGATATATTTCAGTTTTTTTTTTTTATTTTTAGGTGGGGCCTGGATGGACACAATATTTATCTTGTAGAGTTACATGGGGTGTTGATGCTGGGTATGGAGAGACATTTGAGGGACAGGTTTTTAAAATAGATTAGGTTTTAAATTAGTTAAAAAAAAGGATATTTTTTCAATTTTTTTAAGAAATAGTCTAAGTGTGACTTATTTTTGTTGTATGACGTGCCACAAAAATCATTATTTAATTAAATATAAATTTTTAATGAAAAATTAAGCCTATTTTAAAAACCTAATAATTTAAAAAGTTTAATTTTGGAAAAATGTAATTAATTTTTAATAGATGAATATTTAAACTTAATAAATTTAAGTTTCTATTATAATAATAAATTCATTTAATTTTGAATAAATTTTTAAATTAAAAAAAGTAAGTTAATTTAAAAAAAAACTCAATTCTAAAAGACAAATTAATTTTGAAATTTTAAACTTTTTATAAAGATATATTTTATCTCAAAAATTTATACATGAATATTATTAAACTATAATTTAAATAAGATATACCTGAGTATGTTTTACATTAAAATTTTAGACCCAATCCATAACCACTTAAGCTGAGATTAGATCAACTTCGGCTCAATAGCTCCTTAAGCTAAATTAAGACCTATTTCATATTAATAGTTGTAAGAAGATAAGCCCTTCAAAAAATACATATAAGACTGAATGGACTCTACAAGAGAAACTAACTTACAATCCCTCCCATCATCTTGGAGCAAAGCCAGGTTACATCCACAATGAACAATTACTTCCCATAAAATTTATAATTTCTCCATATAAATACTAAAATTAAATTTTTTTTGCTTATATAGTTTAAATAATTTAGTATATATTTACTTACCCAATACTAAAAAATAAATAAATATTTAGTAATGTTATATCTTCTAAAAAATTAAATATTTCAGCACGAAGCAACAAGTTTTCACTTGAAATTAAGGTTGGCAAAACGGCTCGTGTTCTCAAACAACTCGTGTTCGACTTGTTAAGAAGCTCGTGTTCGACTCGTTCGACAAGTTAACAAGCCGAACACGAACAAATTTGTTCGTGTTCGGTTCGTTTTGGCTTGAAATACTACTAATCACGAGCTACTTAACGAGCCGAACACGAGCTGTTCACGAACAACGAGCCAAATTGACAGCCCTAGATATGAGTGATTGGAGTGGTATAAATGTAACATGTAAAATTTAGGTGTTGGATATGTAAAGACATAGGAATTGGGTGGTATGTATGTAAATGTCCCAATAATATGTTTATGATTCCTCCAAGCCACTTGCTTAGCTTACTTGTGCATTGTTATGTAACATAGAATGTCGTTGAAGAATCAATATAGAATCAATGCTTATTTTGCAAGTAATTTGAAGTACATTGATGGCATCATCTCTACTTACATTTTTTATTTGCTGAGATCAGCTTTTCATCTTTGTATTTTATTCATTATTGTTTAAATTTTTATTAATTATTAGGTGCGGATAATACACACTGCGAATGAGATGCGAATTGCCTGCGTATATTGCTATATTTTTCGTGTGTGCTATGATTTTTCTCGTAGAAGAACTCTGCAAATACATAGCTGAGCACACACTTATCTTTTACGCACATAGAAATACATGCATTATTCGTACCCTGAATGTCTTCTCTTGTTTTCTATGTGGCGCAACTAAGATTGTGAAAACTATACCGTGCATTGAATCAAAAGAAGTGAACATTTAATGTTCAAACATTCAATCGAGGATGAATCGAGGGTGTGTGTTGAATTAGTTCTTGAATGATGTTGAGTCCTTCGTGCAAGTGACATCTCAGCTTCTGACATGCCTATTTGAGGGTATGTTTTGATGCTCATATTCGAAACACTGAAATCAAACACTGAATGATGTTGAACCAATCATTTACACTGAAGTTGATAATTCAATTATTTTTGCTTCTTCAATGAACTATTTTATTCAAGGAGATTTGTAGAAATTGTATTCAATGAAACAAGACCTCATTATTCGAGCAAGTGGAGGAAGAGCCTCCAAACAACGAAACTTATATAATTTATGAATAATTGAATACATGATAATGAACACTGCCAAAACGTTGCACATCACATTCAGAGTTAAATGTGACTCTTAGAATATTGACAACTTACACACAGTTTAACAAGTTCGAGAATGTTTTAACCAGGTTGGAAAGTTACGAAAAAAAGACAAATTCCCATAGAAATTTATTGTCACACGGCTCATAAAAAATGACAAAACTAGCCTCTAAGTTAAGCTTGAAATCAAAGAAGATAGACTTTTGTGTCAAATAATGCATGTTATTTTATAAGGCCGATGAAATAAAGACTCTGTGAAGATTTTGTGAGGATCATAGATTCAAATGTCAAAAAAAAAAAATTAATATGCAGAAGAAAGCTTCAAACAAGCGTCTCTTTCACTTTTCACTTATTCCTAGTCTTCAAAAACTTTTTGCTTCTATTTGCACTGCTAACATATGAGATGACATCAGAACATATTAGGTGAAACTAATAAAATTATGATGATGCGATATTTTGTGTTTCCTTTTATATATTTATTAGATGACTATTATAATGTTCATTTGATTAGATGATTATGTGAATGCAATGAGTTATCTTGCAAGTGATAGTGTTGAAAGAAACTTATAAATCAATAAAATTTAGGGAATGTTATCATCATTGACATCATCATTGACTAAAGTATATTAATTACTCATCATTCATTGAATTTTAACTAACACAATTATTGTAGATTCTCTTTTCATGAATTTTTTGATGTTTTCTGGTCAGTCAGCAAGCCTAAGAAAAGGTAACCTTAGAAGGGAACCTCAAATAAAAAAAAGGGAAGATTTGCACTCATACCATTCAATTCTTCTGTATTTGCATATTTAAAACCTAAAATTCTATTTTTACATTTATGTCACTTTACGTACGCATGAAAATATTTGTATCATATTGTAAAGGTTATGATAGTGGATTTTTTAATGTGATATAGAAGATTTTAGTGGTTGAAATTAAAAAAAAAAATGAATTTAGTGCTATAGGTAAAAACATTGGGCCAAATTATCAATAGGACCACCTTAATGAATGAAATTAGTAATTGGAGCACTGAATATATTTTTTTTAACAACAAATATGAGGCCTTGAATTGGGAGTCCTCATGCACGTCTCAGAGCCCCGTTGAAACATTCAGATGCGTTTGTTGTCATTGTGCCAAATCGAGCTCCACCATCATGTGTTAAAGTCCGTTTCGTGATATCTTTCTCAATCAAACAACCTTAGGACTCCTTAATTTGTTCATTATCGTTCATGTGCCTATAAAAGGTTCTGAGTTCATTAATATTACCTGCCCAATACATTTTATCACAGACACTATCGACATTCTCTATTGCAAGACATCTTAATGCTTTCTTAAAGTTTTCTCGTAGAAGATGCTAGCAGTGTCGATGTGTAGCTTATGGGAAAATCTCTCAGCAGCCACGAATAATACATAGATCTCGACGAGTTCATATAACTTCCAGCAAAGCATAGAGTTGTTGTAGAAATCATATACAAAACTCAGTATTCTTGAACTCGACAAAAATAAATGCAACCGGAAAAAATCCAATATTTTCGTTAATTTCTACTATAGCCAGTAGAATCCCTCTATACTTTCCTAGAAGAAACATCCCGTCATATAAGGGGACCAAATGCCTAGAAGATACTATAGAAATGAGTATTATTTTTAACTTCAATTTTATACATAGTGCATGGTATTGCACTTTGTATTGCTTTCATTTGTAAAAATAAGGAGCAATATGACTCCTCAAAACTACCACATATTGATTTTACTGTTTTTTTACGTGTATCACATGATTTGATGTAACTAACACGGACATTAAATTTGGCCTTCATTCGAGCAACAATTTCTTTGGGCTTTAGGCCAAGTGTTTGCCTTCAAACTTAACAGACGTAGTGACATATGAACTTCGAAGTGCAGTTTCGATGTCCAGTTGACATTATTGGACGACTACACGTATGAGCCATGATGGGGATACAAATACCGCTTACGTCCCAAGCTTTCCTTAGGCTTTTTCGACGAAGTTCTTTATAGCTTCAAAAGTACTATTTTTCATGTACATATAACCTTGGCTTAAGGATAATTCTATCGTGTTCTCTTAACAAGAAGTATTGCACGATAAAAATAAACATAACTAAACAACATTACACTTCAAATTAATTTCATATAAAACTAAATTGTTCATACCTTGCTAATGATGTTGTGCATGACAAGGTCCTGACAACACGAGCAACAATTCGACACAGCATAAATAATTTATAATAGTTTCGGGCAACATTTCGATGCATCGTTAATAATTCAAATGTATTACGAACATCACTTATACATAACATAACATAAATAATTTAAAAAAAAATAAGAAGTTTACGTGCATAATTACGACGTGGGATAAAAATTTATTGGAAAAAAATTAGCAGAATTTCACCACATCGTACATAATTTAAAATGCTAACGTGCATTTTAACAATATATTACTAAAAATTAATGATGAAAATTAAAAAAATATTAAATCAAAACAGCTAGTTCTAAACCTAGAGGACCAACATCATACTCTAACTTGTCATGCACATGAAAGCAACCATATGCTCCTTTACAAAGAGAAAAATTGCATGCTTCTTATGCTAATTAGGGTAATTAAGAAGCTGCTAATTAGGGTAATTAACAAGCTTCCTACATTGCAATTGGTTGGTATGTCATATTCAAATTTATACAAATTTTGACAAAAGGTTGCTCCATGACAACTAGTTTTAAACCTTTTAAAGGTGATTTGAGAGCAATTTTTTTTTAATATTAGATTTATTTATTTATTTAATGATCATGATGCTCACATGGCTCGGCTAATTTATTTCGATCTGATCTTGATCCGAGCGAAAATTCAAATCAATTTTCGAGCGATCAACGATTTCAAGCTAAATTCACTGTCTCAACATCACTAGGGTTGTTAACGATTCAATTCGGAGCTGAGCTGAGGTCGACTCAAAATAGGCTCGAAGAAAATTCGATTCAAAATTTTGGCTCTTAGCTCTGCTCATTTATTTTGATCCGAGCAAAAATTCGAATCAATTTTCGAGCCATTAACGATCTTTCAGCTAAATTCATAGTCCTTCTTATAGGAGCTACATCGAACATAAATTTAATGATAACCTTATAGTAATTTAGAAACCAAGACGAAACCAAGTGTGTGATTATTATTATTTTTTTTGGAAGATTGAGTGAAGTTGTTATAAACACATGCACACCGCATGACTAAGGTAACTTTCATGTGCATGACTAGTTGAGTAATGGTGTAGTCTTAATGCAATAGTTTAATTTTAATTTTCTTATAACCAAATTTAAAAAAAAATCAAAAAATCAAACTTAAATAAAGGATTCATGAAATTCAATTGACAATTTACACATGTTATGATATTAGGTAGCCTTTGAAAGCATATGCGAAAGCTATTGAAAGTCGAGAGAAAGAGCGAAAGCTAGCTTGAAACGACCCTCGGAGTGAGGCTGACTGAATCCATTCATCTAACCGGGAACGAAACAAAGCTTTCATCAAGTGGGTAAGCTAAGAAGTAGTATGACAATTGATGTTTGTTCATAATCAAACTCCTACCAACAATTAAATTTCAGTTAGCTCATAACATAACCGTTCAAACCCAATTAAAATTTTATTCGATTGGTTCGAATTCACCAAAATTGCAATCGGTTAGATTTTTTGGATTTCGATTACAATCAGTTTGGCCGATTTGGAAACCGGGTCATCCTAACCGACAAAATGCTCGCCTCTTAGGGCCCGTTTGGGGCAACTTATTTGGTGCTGTGGTGTTTTGAAAACACGCCTTACTTTTTTGGGTAAATTACGTTTTGACAGCTTATGCATTTTCAAAATGCAGAAAACAACGACCTATCTCGGTACGATGACAACTTATTGGCAACGGTCTAGCTTTTCTAAACAAAATAAAAATTTGTAATAGTCACCGCACCTAGCTTATCAGCAGATTATTTTTAATAAGCTTATCAACAGATTATTCAATAAGCTGCAGCTGCCTCAAACAGGCCCTTAATCTTTCCATATTGGCTAAAAAACATGTGTAGTGCCATGAATGCGCTTCCTAGCTTTATTCCATTTGTATATAAATCAATGAAGTTCTCATGCGCAAGGAGAAAAGTGTTCAGCTCAGACTTCATTAAAAGGAGTTTCTATTTTTGAAATCTAACGGCTAGCTTTGCAACATGCTTTTCTTCTGCATGTATTTACTCGGCAGCTTCAGAGACGTGTTTCAAATTCTCTCTCTCTCTCTCTCTCTCTCTCTCTCTCTCTCT